GGAAGCAGCAGTTTTAGGGGAAATGTGTGAACCTATCAGCCAGCCGTGCCCTGCTGCACACAGGGCACAGATGTCGCCCCCTCCTGCTGGCTCCCCTCTCAAGCTCTTCCTCTTCCTGGTTCTTCCTTCTCCTGGAGCTCCCTCCACTGAAATGCTCTGGAGCCTGGGATCCCAGGGAGGTGCTCCCAGCAGCCCTGTGGGCGTCACCTGGGAGGTGCTTAGAGTTTCAGACTCTCAGACCACCCAGGCCTCAAGAATCAGAATCTTTCTTAGTAAGACTTTCAAGTGATTCCTGGGCATAAAAAAGTTGAGAAACAGGACTTTTGGGTACCAGGGGCTCAGGGGAAAGTGACAGCAAGACATCCTGATGACTGTTGAACTGTTGGTTGTTTTACATGTGAGCAGACTTCCCTCTGGAGTTTGGGAGGCACCGTGTCAACAATCCACTGGGTTCTACAGAACCAAATGTACTTTTAAAGTTAATGCAAAATTTTACTCAAAAATATCTACTTTAGCTCTTCTATTTTTTTTCTGTTTTTTTTTTAGCTACAGGGCTGAAATCCAGGGCTTTGTGCATGCTAGGCAACTGTATCTACCACTGAGCTACATCTCAACCCTATTAAACTTCTAAACACGAGGGGGAAGAAAAATAAACAAAAAATTTACCAATGTATTTAGTTATGTTGTCAGACTAAATCTTTTAGATTTAAAATAAAATTTTTGGCTATACCAAGTTAAGTTAGTAGTATTAATAAACCATGAAATGGCTTGCTTACAAACAAGTCTGATACCACTTAAAATATCTTACATCCACTGATCCCAGTTTTCTCAATGCTTTGCAAATAAAATCAAGTGCAGAAATAAATGACGTTCTCTAAGTGAAATAAAACCGCAACTGCCATCCATAACTCCAAACTGAATTCCTGCATCTAGCCACTGTGTTAACTAATTTAATATTAAGTAATCATTGTACATATGACTTTTTAAAATATGGCTTTTGTTTGCCTCATATATTGGGGTACCAATAAGTTTCATTTGAAAAAAAATGCATTCGGATCTACAGCATTCTGACCAGCCCTGTACGGAAGGGTGCTTGTGGCTGAGTCTCCGACCCCAGGGCTGTCTGGAGCCAGAGTAATTGGACACATCACTTCCCAGGAAGTGATGGATCACAACAAATTGACACCTGCCAACTTCTCCCCTGTATGCTCCTGATCCCACTCCAGTCCTTCTCAAGTCGAAGCAGTCGGGTCATTTTGATTCATTTTTTGATGTGAATCAAACTTTCAAGTAGGACATGCCATGGAACAAATTATACATTTCCTGTGACCTGCTAAATGAATTAGTTTATTAGAGCAAGAGTCTGAAGTCTGGATTTAAGACTAAAATCATAGATAAAAATAATTTATATTTCTCATGGTGGAAGGACTATTGCCTCTGAAATTCCTTTCCAGTCCTTGGTGGCGTAACTTTCTAGCATTTCTTACCTTCGTTTCCTCAGTCCATCTATAGGCATTTACTGAGTGTGTACCAGACACCCCATTATGCAGAGAACCATAAAAAAACATACCTTCCTCCTGCAGTGTCAGCTTAGAAGGGAAGGACAGCCCGACAAATAATTACTAAACCAGGTGATGAGGGCATATTGCATGCATGCATATGGTGCTCTGGTTATGCAGGAGAAGAAATAAGTAATTAAAAAGAGTGCCCTAGGTTAATTTGTGTTTTGTTGTGCTTGGTAATTGGCCCTAACTGTTAAAATACATGGTGATAAGATATTAGGGTGTGAAATTGAGTTTCAATCAACTTGATTGGAAAATAAAACATTTTCCACCATTAAGAATTAAAATGCCAATAATCTGGGCCAAGAGAAGGTTGATTTAAAAAATAAGAATTACAAGAAACCAACATTAAAACTAAAATGCTAAAATCTCATTGAAGTACAAATATCACTTTTTCAGAAAGCCCTAGTCCTGCATTTGGGGAATATCCCGTTACTCTCACATTGTGGTTTATGCTTCCCTGGCGTACAAGTACACCGTCCTCTTTTTATCACTGAGATGTGGATTTTCTACTTGGTGCATTATTTAGAGCACATTTAGATTCCAACTTGGTTTTCCTTTGCTACTCAGTAGGCTTCTGCACTACCTCCCCCTGAATTAATTGATATAATGAGCTGATGTAAATGATCCTCACCATTAGGCTGAGCTAATATTAACCCACGATGATTTAGAAAGTAAATATACCACACAAAGGCACATACTTACTGAATTGCACACTGAAGTATCAAGGATGCTTTAGTTTCCTGCATATTTGGACTATCTGTTCCCTGCCTTCTAGGGTGACATGGAGAGCAAGCACGGTGGATGTGGCTCCTGCTGCAGTGGCCTGGGCCTGGGTCTGCATGCACGGTGCTGTGAGGGGGCCCTTCCATCTCAGGACCACTACCACTTGCTGCTGTACTTCCTTCCCCTTTGCTCCTGTTCTGCTAGGACCACTTTCCAACAATTAATCATAAAGTGCAACACCTCTCTTAAGACCCAGTGAAAATGTCCTCAGCTCTCTTCAGCCCTTTCTGTAGCCTCCACCTGTCACTCCTCTAGCATCTAGATGTTTCCGTAGCAGTTCTTAGGTTGTCGTGACTCACCAAATTCTTCCTGCTCCGTATTTTGCATGACTCTTACCCCCATCTCCACCTACAGCCACATTAAAAAGTCTTCTGAGGACCATCTTTGTAGCCTTCATACCATCAAGCCCAGATTATATGGAAAGGGAAGTAGGTGTCTATTAAACATAGAGTGGGTTTCCCATCCTTCATGAAAATCCAAGATCATGGCTTTGCTTATATTGTACTTCAACCTATTAATGTTCTTTCTCTTGCTTTATTCTTTTATAGTCCTGTTTGATCTTTGAAAGTCAACCTAGGAGCTTTGAATTGTGTCTGAAATCTATATTTGATCTCTCACAAGAAATTCCATGGTGTTTTGTTTGTCTCTGAGTTGTGCCATTTTTATTTTTGCCTCTGTTACAGTTCTCATACATAATGTATCTACTTTCATAAGTGGTAAGCTCTTAAGAAGCTGTGAATACAGGCTTATTCCTCTGTTTACCATAGTGCTGCGCATACAACAAGTGCTCATTACATATTTGTTGCAGGAATAAAGGTTTCTGAGGAATCATGGAGAAATAGCACGCATATAAAGAATCAGGAGCTCCACATCATATTGAGCTGGGCCCTGCTGCAAGAGACTTAGACATCAAAGTTGAAAAATCAAGAACATAGGTTGGAGAATGTGGTCTGAGACCATCTCTATCAGATTTTGAAGGAAAAAGGCCGTGGGGCATTATGATTAAGGGTTTCCATGCAAGGCGGCTCTCTGTCAATCCATTGCCTGTGACTCTCTATTATAGGTTCTGCTGTTGAATCTGAGTTTCCTGTTGAAACCTAGATATCTTCTGTGAATTCTAATACATAACATTAAATAACTTCTTTTCAATCTTTTTAAACAAGGATTTATAAAGAAGCAGGTTATAGGGAAGTTGAAGAAACAAATTGTCGAAAGGGGCAAGGAGATGGGATAAGGTGACAGACAGGAAAGAGTTTGTGCCACTGACATGAATGTTCCAGAACAGATCTCAACCTCACTATTTCTATAATACAGTCAAGCTATGACATTGTGCCCTGGAAGTTGTGACTCATATATTTACAAGCACGGCTCTCATTCATTGACCCTCTCCTTCCTTCCCCTTATCTACTTCAGGAATATTACCTACAAACCTAACATGGTACATCTACACAATGGAGTTCTATTCAGCCACACAAAAGATGGAATCCTGTCCTTTGTGACAGTGTCATTGGGAAGGGAGATTATTGTGTTAAGTGAAATGAGCCAGGTACAAAAAGAGAAGTACTAAGTGATAGCACTCACGTGGAATCTAACAAGACACTTCTCATAGAAGTCAGGAGGAGAATGGTGGTCACCAGAGGCTGGGGAAAGGTTGTCAGTGGTTACTAAGTTCCAGTTAGAAAACAGCAAGAAGTCCAGGAGTGCAGCTGACCAGTAGGGTGCCTGTAGACGTGATTATGCCGTGGGTATTTCACAAAGCCAGAAGATAGGACTTGGAATGTTTTTACCATAAAAGGTAATGATAAATGGTGGAGAAGACAGATAGGTCTGTCCTGATTTAAATATTACACAATGTAAACATATATTGAGACATCACATGGTAGCCCATTAATATGTATAGTTTTATATGTTAAGTATCAGTTTTAAAATAAACTAAAAAAATAAGATGTTTTAGAATATTTATAAGATAGATATAATTGCCCACTTTTCAAATGGGGACACCAAGGTTCAGAAAAGTTACATTTAGTCATCACAGTTAGCTTCCTAATGCATAACTTTGAACATAAACCCTATTTTCCCCCTCTGTTATGTTTGCTCCTCTTTAAGTCGGTGGCTTAAACTATCCAGTCAGGTTCAGGGGGAAGTGTTTGAAAGACAGAACATTTTTTCTTATTAGGTGAATGTGTTTCCTTTGCTGTTGCCATGGCATTATCACAAAAACTCAAAATTGTTTGGGAAAACTCAGGACTATCCCTCTGCAACTTGGTATTGGCCTTGATAGAGAGGAAAACAGGAGAGGAACAAGATGGCCTATCTTCCATCCTTCACCAGGAGAAATCTGGCGAGGATCTCTGTCTTTGGATAAAAGGGAAACAAAATGAATCTTGATATGCAAATGAGCCCCTCAGCTGGGTGTGAGTATCTACTATTTACTCAAAAATGGGAAACACCAGGCCTGTGATACATCATCTTCTGTGTGCTTGGCACCTTCCATCATGAATCGTATTAATCTGCTAAAACTAACAAGGATTAATTGCCTCAGTAAGGCAACCTGGCATGGAAATGATAGATTGCCCAAACAGCTTGGAATTTGGCCACTCATAAATCTCGTTTGTTTGTTGGTTTATTTCTGTTTGTCTCTTTTCCTGACAGATGTGTGCCCAATCACTGTGAGCATGGAGGGAAGTGCTCGCAGACGTGGGACAGCTTCAAATGCTCTTGCGAGGAGACAGGATACAGCGGGGCCACCTGCCACAACTGTGAGTGCCAATTTATCTCACTCTAATCTTGTAATCGCACGAGAATCGCAGGTCTTCAGCCGTGCTTTAAAGCTTAGCAGCCTGAATTATCTATACACTGCATCCCTTGATCTGAAAAGCCCAGATTCTGTTGTCGTTACTCCAAAAAAATAGTGTTGGACGTGTCAAACATGTTCCCCCGTGCTGGACGGGGGGCGGCCAGAGTCTCCAGCATTCCATATTTGAGTTGGAAGGCAGAACTTGGAGTCCCCTCTGTGTGTCTGAGCCAGGGCTGTCCAGTTAGATTGCCTGGGAAATTGTGTTAGTGTGATGTCTCTGACTGGACCATCATTTATCAATTCATCTGAGAGGGAGACAGAGTATAATTTGAACATTTAATTTCTGGACAGTGGTTGTCTCTGGTGTCAGCCCAAGTATTTGGCCCCATTTTTTCACATCAGAGAAATGAGTCAGAAAGGGGAATAAAGTCCATCAACTTATATATCTAAAGTAAAAGCACGAGGAGGGAAAACTTCTAAAAACATTAAAAAAAAAAAATCTAACATGTGCCAATGACCAGAAAAATATCTTATATCTTGTATTACATAGCTTAATCCCATATGTTTGAATACAGATTAAACTTTTAAATTCAAAGCATATTTTAAGTGAATGTTAGTTCTTTGATTGTGATATTAATTTTTCAGTAATGCACTGCCATTTTACAAAGCATCTTTGAAAATATGCTTGCCATAAAACATAGAGTGAAGGGGGTCATCTGTTGTGTGGTGTGTGTTGTCTTAAGAGAGAAGAGAGTCAACCGTCTTTCAATAACCTAAAACCCTGAAACCCTAACATCTAAGGCCTCTAATTACACAAAATCGATTTCTCTTCACTTTATTTTTAGGAAATGGCAAGCAGAACATTCTCAGAGTAGAGTCCTGGGTACAGTAAAAATGCAATATCGTTCTCTGTGATTTGCAGTAATGTGCACCAAGAAATCATGCTTAGAATGTACTGTGAGACATAAACTGAGAAAAACGTTTGAAATTTATTTTTCTTCATTTATTAATTTTTTGAGGGAAATAATGAAAGACAAGATATAAAGGGACTCTTAGAAGAACTAACATTAACAGAAACCTGTATAAGTAACAACAGACGGGAGATTCATCATCTGTAAAGCACTTAAATGTAGAAAAGAATTTAGTGAACAAAGAACAAAAATGATTAATAATAAAATTAATTAGAAAAAGACCAGGGGAGGAAGGAAGGGAGGGTAGGAGGAGGTGCTGGAGAATGAAATTGACCAAATTATGTTGAGTGCATGCATGAATATGTAACAAGGAATCCCACTAATGTGTATAATTATAGTGCATCAATAAAAGTTTTCAAGATCCAATGAATAAGAATGTGGGACACAAAAGCTTGTAAAACAAAATAAAAACAAAGACAAAAGAAAAAGTTCTCTTTGGCATCTTTCCTAAAATGGAAAGATTGTACTAGATACAATTATATCTGGTAAAAAATAAGTTATAACTCAATTATGTACCAACCACACAAAATGTTGACTTTTTGTATACAATATTCATTATTATAAAAGATGAGGCCGAAATAAATAACTTTGGTAAAAATTAGCAATCTTAATTTCACCAGTATAATTTTTTATCATATGAAAGTTACCATATTTAAATGCAAGAAATCTTGTTTCTGAAATACAACAAAGCCAAGGAAATACAGAGCAAGAATTGGTAGTGGTCACGGGGTCGCAACCTCTGTGATGGCTTTAATATTGACAATTGAAAAGCCAGTGAATTTTTAACACAGCAAAATGCATTACAAAGAAAAAGGCAGAATTGTAAAAGTACATGCTTTTGATTGAGTAGTTGATAAGAGTCATAGCTGCAGATATTAGAAATATGCTCAGTGTGGCCAACTCTAGATGTAAAAGTGGGAAATTACCTCATATTTGAGTGTTCCTTCCTACTTGCTCTTCACTCCCTTGTTACTTCTGTAAGTGGAGAACTATTCATTTTAATAATGAAAACTGGATCCCTTGCTCAATATTGTGAAGGTCAAGTGTGCACATCAATAGAGGTTGAACAGCCATATTGCATGATTCAAGAAAAGACTTGGTTTGGAAGAGTGTACCCTGCAGCTTATTAAAGGATGTTTGCTTCCTATAAAGATTTGATACATCTCTTCATACTCCCATGGAAGAGTTAAAAATCACAAGAGGTCTGGAATAGCACATAACAAAAAGATGCAATGTGTTCCATAAAGTTTGATACATAAAGTTGGATAGTTTTTCACTGTTACTCAATCACTGGATGCATTCCCAGCAAAAGCATTGAAGTGAAAGCCCCCGATGTCTGCTGCTGGCTGGAGGTCACCACTCAGAGTGTCCTTCTAGACAGTCATGTGACTTCTCTGGAACTTTCTTTGCTCCGGTTAACTAAATGGTTATTGAATCTCTTTTGTTTCTAAAGGCCTATGAGCTGACATTTCAAGTTGCTTGTCTCATGTTGTGTGGTTTTGAACTTTGCTAGTATTACAGATTGAGAATCCCTAATTAAAAAATCCAAAATGCTCCAAAATCTGAAAGTATATAATACCTACACAATACCTCAAATTTTCAGGTTGTGGAGCATTTTGGATTTGGGGTTTCTGGATTCGGGATGCTTAATAAGTAAAGTCTAGGCAAATATCCAAAACCAAGGTAGAAAACTCTAGAATTTCAAACTTTTTAAAAAATGTTTTTATTAGTGCATTATGGTTATACGTAATAGTGGGATCATTTTGACATATTAATACATGCATGCCATGAAGTTGCTCCGTTTTAATCCCCAGTACTTCCTCCATCCCTCCCCCTCCTCTCTCCCCTGCTCCTCTTCCTCTGCTCCATTGGAGGAGGGACTACAGAATGAACTGGACCAAATTATGCTGTGTACATAGGAATATGTCACCGCACATTCCACCTTTGGATATAAAACACCAACTTAAAAAAGCCAATACATAAATAGAAGGAAGACTCGAAATCCTTTTGAACCCAAGTATTTGGATAGGGACACTCAGTCTATACTAAATATTTACCTTGTTTTTTTTTTTTCTTGCAGAAGACCAAGCATTTCTGCCAAGTAGAAATTATGCTATTTTAAAATAGTACTATGTCCCCCAACCCTCCCCCCAAAAAACCAGCTAACCCTGAACTTTAGTGTAACTAAACATTTGATAGAGTTTCAAGCACTGTAATTAGGCTACAAAATGCTAATTTAGTCCGTTTTCTACACTGGTCCAGCCTTGGTCAGGATGAGAGAGCAATTTCTTGAGTGACATGGGTGGACGATTCACGTCGTTTGGCTGGGTCATGCTGCTTGCCCTTGAATTGGCTCTACCCCTTGCTCCTACCCTTGGCAACTGCAATGGACACAGTACTCACCTGAGAAGCCACCGTGGGCTTAACAGGTGATTCACAGGAGACGCCACGTGCTTCATCCTGTGTAGCACTGACATGTGTTTTTCTATTCTTTCCTTTGAGAGCCGTGTCCCTTTGCTCTGAACTTCTCAAACAATAATGTCCACATCACACAACTTGCTATTGAATTTCATATTCCCACACGTTATTTGCTGCCGAAGTCTGGCTTGGCACAAATCAGGAGCCACTTGTCAAAAGAAACTAACTTTATTTTTAGAACTACAAACGCCAAACAAAACAGCTCCTCAGGAAAAACCCTCAGAGCCCAACTGCCACCACTGGCTTCACCACCGGCTTCCACACGCCTCTCACCCCCACACCAGCCTCCCAACCTCCCACAATCCTCCTGCTCTTGAGGCCGATTGGCTGGGTTGCATGGGCGGAGCCAAAGAAGTCCCCCAATGAGCAGCTCCGTGGAGGAGCCAATCAGCTAGATGTTGCTGGGGCCGCTGTGAGCCAATCATTAGCTGGCAGTCTGAAGGGCAGGGAAACAGCCCAATGAACATCACCGCAGAGGAGCCAATCAGCTAGATGTTGCTGGGGCCACTGTGAGCCAATCATCAGCCGGCAGCTGGAAGTTTGCTGGCAGCTAGATCATCAGCCGGCAGCTGGAAGTTTGCTGGGGCCCCTTTGGCTGTGGCTCTCAACAATTTGCCATCATTGTCATGGCAGATTTGGGCTGAAAGTGAACGATTGTTTTTGTTTTTCCTGAATTGAAGAGGTAGTCTTGATGAACAAGTAGTCTAGACGCCTCTTAGACTTGTATCTAATGGTTTATTCTTTAGTTGGTCAATTCCTAGAGATCTTACTTCCAAATGTGTGGTAGAGAGGACTCAATCTTGTCACTTAGGCACGCTCTCCTGAGCGGAGAAGTGCCATCCTTTGGTGAGAAAGTTCCCCAGGAGCCTTTCCCACCAGGATGGTCAGATCACAGGAGAGGGGAAGCCAGGTGCTGTCGTCCAAAACCAAAAAAGAAGCATTTGTGACAAAATGAGTATATAGGGGGTCGTTGGGGTTCGAGACTTTTTAAAACTGTCTTCTGCGAACATTCTCTGTTTCAAAGAACTGCCTCCTGCTATGTCGGAGTGTGAGATCTTGGCGAGGTGACACAATCACGCTGACGAGTTTGTCGCAGGCTTATCGGTTAGTGGTGCTGACTCAGGGGCCTCACCCTCCCAGGATCTGAGGATGTCCTTCCTGAGCAAGCTCAGTGCCGACAGGCAGCTTTCCTCCCACTGTGCTGCCGAGATGCTTGCTCTAGCTCCCAAGGGTCCCTAGGCTCTGATTACCATCCTGCTCCACACGTGCGCCTTACACTTTGACCATGGTGGCCCTCATCCATACATTGACATCAGGAGGCTATCCTATGTCTCAGGGCTTAACAGATATTCTTTCTCCTTAAGCTCCTCTCTTAGACCTCAGCCATTCTTACATCTAAAACCACTCCATGGAGAATTTCCCTAAACTTCCCCGGAATATCCTCCAAACCCTGAAAACCTCGGGCTACTCACAGAGAGTCGGGGGATAAAAGGGAATATCTCAGTATTTGACA